AGTATAATACCTTACTGGATCATTAAAACATTGTTGTAGTTACCTGCTCTCTAAAATAAGAGTTCATCCCTCTAGTCATTTAGAAAGTAATCCAGTGTTGCGTGACATCCATTTACATCTTTAGTGACATTATATTCATGGCACTTTATTGTGTTGCATTCATGTCACTCTATGGCTCTATGTTAAGTCGAAATGAGTTAAGACACAATAACACGCCGAATAAATACTAATTCAGAAGTCAAACAACAAAAATCAGCGTTATACCTACAAAATTTTCACAGGACTAGTTTCGATGGTTTTACCGAACCATCATCTTCAGCTGCAAAACCGCAAATGGAAAAAAAATCCATTTGCGGTTTTGCAGCTGAAGATGATGGTTCGGTAAAACCATCGAAACTAGTTCTGTGAAAATTTTGTAGGTATAACGCTGATTTTTGTTGTTTGACTTCTGAATTCGAAATGAGTTGTTATATGAATATCGCAGTGTGACTTCACAACACTATTGCAGTGTAACTTTACAACAAAGTCGCAGCGTGACTTCAAAGTCCCAATGTGACTTCACATCAGCGTCGCAATGTGACGTCGCAAAAAGCGGACATTAAACCATTCGTACAACGTTACTGCGACATTGAGGTCGTCACAATGCAACACGTTTGCAATGTTACAGCGACGTGCCGTGCTGTTGGGGACAGTTACGGTTACACAGTGATGGGAACAACTACAGTAACGCGAGGATTCTACCAAAATGTCACCCAATGGTAGCCAGATGAGGCGTCTGTTCGCGATTTCTCGTTAAATTTGGCGGCACAGTTTAGGCTCCAAAACCATTGCTAGCTTTGCTCTTAGCCATTTTCTTCATTGTTAAATTGACCCCTGTAATCCTGCTTTTTCGGAAAAGGCCACCAATTCTGAGGCTTTTAATGTTACATTAGGCAAAATATGCAGTGATTTACATATAATTTAATTTTGTTACATATACGCAAAATTCAAAACAATACATGTGTATATCTGTTTGGCTGACGATGTAGATCATGTATGAGAATGTATGTACATCTGTCCTGCCACTGAAGTAATGGGCTTCCTGATGTAAAATTTCTTCCTCCTTGAGGAAAATTACCTGCAGTTCATCTACTTCATGTAAATAATATGGCATAATGTGTAGTTGAATAAGTAAACGCCCAAGTACTGGATAAATATTTGTAAAAACTTGTTTAATAAGAGGATTAGAATTTGCGATGCACCATTCGGAACTCAAATTATCAGTAGGGCCAGCGCAAGTATTGCGGTAGAAATTAGGGGCAAGAAAAAATTTTTAATTTAGAAAAAGCACATAGAAGCAAAATTTAGGGGTGGCAAAATATTTTGAATTTCGGAGAGGTACTGGACAGCAGGGCTTGGGAAAAGTAAAATGTTTTGAATTTAGGGATGCTCTAGAATGCAAAATTAAGCACCTGCAGAGAAGGTTTGGGCGGCAAAATGCCTATCGTTAGATCTGATTACGAAAAAAATAATAAAAAAATGCTACGGCCTGGCTATCTCTTTTAATGTTCAGATATACTGTTGCTTTTTGAAGTGCCGTTTGAATGGCTGTTCGTTCTGCTCAGAATATACTATTTTAGATTTCATATATATCCCAGTCAACTGAAGGAACTAGGATTTGTTATTTTTAAATGTACTGCGCAGCCAATTTTGTTTTCGATTCTTGTGAGAAATAAACAAATGTTTTTGGAAACCTAATCGCAATTTAGACTTTGGTTCCGCAAAAATTATCCATAGAGCTTCTTTTGTTGATGAATTGAATTTACCTTAAACTTGCCACATTCACAACAATTTATCTCCTTTAATTGAGGGAATTACCGTATTTGCCGGTGTATAAGACGCACTTTCTCCCTTTGAAAATAGATCTGAAAAACGGGGTGCGTCTTATACATCGATACTCAGGTTTTGATTACATTAATTTCTGGAAGTTTCCTCAATTCGGAGGTATGCGATTTTTTTTCTTGTTTCTTTACGGAGTGTGGGAATATTACAATTACGTAGAGTTCAGTGAATGCGCATGCACTGTCATCGACGATCACAGATAGGTTCGTTTAAACTTTCTAATTTTTGTGAGCGACTTTTAAGCGTGTGAAATTTCTACTATTCATTTTTTTTAAAAATTTATCAACAAGTTATTGCTCAAAAATAACGTCGGCATTGCTATAACATAGCATACATATCATACAAATTTTGAGATTACACCGTCAAGAGGATGGAAGAGGGGTCAAAGCTTCATGGGACGCTGTGAAAAGAGAGACAGTGTTCAAATCATTTAAGAAGTGAGGCATTAGTAATGCAACTGGAGGGTACAGAGGATAATTTGTTGTAAGAGAACTCAGATGCTGATTCAAAAGATGTCTCAAGTGACTCTTCATTTAGTTCTGGAAATGAGTATCTGGGTTTTGATGAAGAAAATTAAAAGATATTCTTTCCCACATAGACTGGGTATTTGCAGGTGTTATTACTTTGTATTTGTAGTACTTTATATTTAAAATACTGTAATTTCATTATAATTATCAGATAGTCTTGAAAAATGTCTATAAAAAGGGGATGCGTCTTATACGCCGGCAAATATGGTAATTCAAATGCTCTTATTTATAACGTTTTAGAATGCTAATGACTTACTTTATCATGCTTCATTACTATTTTTGTCGACAGATGTCAATTTAATGTTTATGTTGCCGCGCTTTGCTTTCAGTATGAATAAGGTTAATGTTCCTCCCAGTTTTGCTTATTCCTCATGATCAATCTACTGTCTATATGAATAATCTACCGTCTGTATGAACCCCACATGGTCACATCCTTTACCTTACCTTTAAACTTGACCCTCCACGTAACTAAATGTGCAGAATCATTTTATCTTTAGGCTCTCATTAAAACAGTTACTTATAAGAGCCGGACTACATGTAGTCCGGGGGCAACTGTAATCGCGGCATACAGTTGAAGTTGAAAGTTGCAGCCCATTTTGCCATGATCTAATAGTTGCTTGTCTCATGAGACAAAGGTCTTCCCGTTCTTACTCATCTCTTGGTTTCCCCCTAGGGGACCTCACCAGATTGTTATTCACGTGATGCTCCTATAAAGAGTTAGCTAAATTAGCTTACTAAGGTAAATATTTTTTGGACATATATAAGCTTAATCATTTGAGAATTGGAGTATTGGTCCATTTTGTTAATTTAAAGCTCTCAGAGAAATTAACAGTACATTTTGGAGTATTCCATTCTTAATCTGAACAGTGGCCGGATAAATGGTTGAAATTTGCCGCCCACACTCTCGTTGTAAATATTTCATGGTATGTTTTTGTTACTAACAGTTTGTTGAATTTCTCTTAATGTATCATCAGCTCGACAATACCTTGAAGTATACTGCATGGCAATACCTTGAAGTATGTAATTATCTAGATTATACTTCATATTTAAATTTTCCGAAGGACTTTCTGAAATTTTGCTTGGAGCCTTACTTGATCTTGATATTTTCGAGTAATTTATTACTCGACTGGGTAAGTCCATGAACCACTTAGGAGGTAGAGCAGGAACTGAAATATCGCTTCACTCAGATCAAAAACGTATTTTGCAAATTGTTTGTTCCTAAAAAAAAGGAACGTGTCTGATCCCAAAGGAATCCTTTACTTTTCTTTTTTTCTTGGAACTAGAGTTTTGTTCAAAATATATGCCCCACCGTGGTTGTTTTGCCTAACTTAAAATTTTATAGTAGTGTGTCTCTCTTCCAATTTAATTAATCTTTTCAAAAAATCTTTTCAAGAGGCTCTAAAAACAAGACTTGCAAACCGTTTTTGCAGAAATTATAATTATGTTAACAGTGGAAATGTGTCTAAATAGTGTTATTGATTTTAAATTTATTCTTTCTGATATGTGGAAGTGTTTGCTACACCTGGTTGTCTGGTCACTAGGCTCTACCATATGTAGAATAAATTAGAAATTTCGAAAGATGAAATGGTATTAACCTAAAACACCAAAAGATGCGTACGGTAAAATTATTTTGCGGAAGTGAAAAATCGGCATTCTTTTTTATATAAATATTCTCTACTATAACAAAATAAATAATCCGCATATATATAATAATAAAATTCTATAGTCAAGAATACACTTAAAATTCTAACTGTATGTTCTTTTCCTTTTTTAATGGCGACGGTGTCTTATTTGAAAGTACGTGGAATTAAATCCACAGCCCCGTAGTCAAGTTGTTTTTCCTGATTTATTGGCTGTTCGGCAGTGTTCTTAAGAAAATAAAGTATATATTATAAGTTTATATAATTATATATATATATGATAGATTGTTTCATGTTTCGCTATGTAGAAAAATAGCAGCGCTTGGATGCATCAAAATTTGAAGACACGCATTCCTCCTTCCCAAGATGCACCTCTGGAACCTCGAATTTGCTTTGTTACTTGTTTCCCATTTTGTGCTAATTTATCGAGATTTTGCTTGAAAGCTTAGCAATTTAAAAGCTCTGTTTTATACCAATCGGAAAAACGCAGGATATTTATGTTTCAAATTTAATCAGAAAACACAGCGATAGAAAAAATAACGCCACTTGGCAGAACGCAGTGTATTTATTTATTTATTTATTTATTGAATTTCATCAACAAACACTGGGATTTAAGGTAAGTGTGTTGCCTCTGCGCAATTAAAATACTTTTATCTTTCCAGCGGCAGTACAATGTCGTTCAGCAAAGATGTAAAAGAAAAGTTAAGACATTTAACTTTTCTTTTACATGTTATCTGTGCCTTAGTGATTGACAAACTAAGAGATTTAAAAACAATAAATGCAGTTCTTTATTGATTTTATTACTGATTACTAGCTGGACCAAAAAGATAACAATTGCTGGATTTTGTGGCTGGATATTTTTTTTTTACTTTGATAATAACTATTTTAGGCTACTGGTCGAGTTTGTGGCTAGTAAGTAATAAAATGAAATAAAATTTTTCATGCGAATTTTTAGATGCTTTATTATTGCATATTTTGGAAACACTTGTCAAATAGAAAAACACTTTTTAAATTTTGGTTAACATGACATTGAATAACAGTTTACAAATCTTTTAGAAGTTTTCGTTTATCTCTGTAGAAGCATTTTTATTCTTGAAGAAGAAGCATAGTCGGTCGTTTTCCATACCTGCAAATCCTAAATTAAAAAGAAAAATAATAAGATGATTAATATAAATAAATTTAAAGAAAAACTATAGTAATGAAAATAGATAATTTTAATATCTGTTGCGTAGTTAAGGAAAGAAAAGAGGAATTTTAAGGAGACAGACAAATTTACATCTTTTGGCTATTTGTGCTTAGGTTTTTTCAGAATGATAATTGATGTTTGAAGTGAAGCAGGCGCATTGTTTCAACATCACATAGAAAGGCAAAGTTTTTAAAAATCCTTATCGAAAACCGCATAACACAACCGTAATTCTCTATAAATTTTATTCCATTTACTAGAAAGTTTCAAATAAAATTTATATTTCTGGTTTTATTTTAAAATCTCATACTATAAAAAATTACACTTAAGAAATTCAGGTATATTAAAAATAATGTCTAAAATCTTTTAATAAGAAGTATGTTTACTATTTCAATTTTTCTTGAATTTTCCTTACAATTCCAGATTCAATTTCCAGATGCAAAGGGTAAAATGCTAGAAGGGTAAAAATATTAACCATTTGGGGAAAATATTAACCATTCGTTTGCTTTATTTAACTAAGCACTCGAAAGCTATCTGTATAAGAAATAGGGTGCCTTCCTGGAGGACTTTCGGTAGAAAACTCGCACCGAAGTGCTTGTTTTCAGCGTCCGCCCCACCGATCAGCGGAGATACGGACGATCGCTTGAGATAACAGAAAGGTAAGGAAATCTGCTACCTAGGTCGTTAGCCAATGGGATACCTGCATTCTTGTTATTTGATAACAGTATTAAATTCAAATATTGTTTTTCCTCTTCACTTTTCATTTTACCTCTAAAATGTCTAGACTGTTATTAAAAGACAACGCTGATATTCAATATAATTCAACAATAATATAGAACTGACGAATGCAGAAATATCAGAGGAAAAAACTGGGCATTCCTGTGTAAAATCAAAAATAATTCTGTTTTACAAAATTAAAAAATCTGATGTGTACACCACATGACTTCCTTGTACGGAATATTAAATTATACGCATTTTTTCTTGGATTTCATTTAAATTTATTGGATTGAATTAAATCTACTTCGCCGACAGAGCATAAACCACAATAGAATAAATGCATTCTTTAAAATTCACTCTAGTATTTGTTTACCATAGCGACACTCTGGCGCTAGATTCACTTAACAGCATTATATTTCGTTCATATTATAACTCATAATGCAGAATATTTATATCATTTAAAGAATAGAATTATCTAATCGTTGCCACATGTTCTATTCAAATACTATAATAAAGCTAGAATGATGTATAAAAGAAATTAAGCAAACAAAACAAAAAAGAAACAGTTTTTCACAGACGATTGAGTATTTCTCATTCAATTAATTCAGTTCTCACTTCGCGAGAAGGCAAAAATACATAAAAACTCAAAATATCTATATTAAAAATTACGAAGTAAATCTTAAACACTTATTTCCTCGAAAAAATTCCAGAAAGGATTAAACATGATTTAATTGGCAATAATAAATGAAGCGTTATCTTTGTTGTTGCGAAGCTAAGTTTCTCTAGATTGGCAACAAATCCACTAGTCTGCTGTTTCAAATGTAAACAATCAATGGCCGCCATAAAAAAAAAGGCTTAGCGGCACTTAAACAACTTTAAAATTGTTGATAATTCTAAAAATATTGCATACAGATTTACTAAAGGCATAAAAACCTTAACCGGAAGATAAAAACAACATAATTCAATCACTTTTAAAGCAAAAAATGTACAATTTACAAACATATAAGAGAAAAGAAACTGAGATCACTGAGCCGGGTAACAGAGTGGATATATATATAAAAATATTTATATACGTTTGGTGCGGCCGATTGCAACCAAAATACGAGGTGCACATCTACATGTTATAGCAGTCCTATATACAAAATTTCAACGTTCTGAGGCTACTCGTTTTTGAGTTATGCGAGATACGTACGTACATACGTTCGTACAGACGCCACGAAAAATTCTCTTCAGAATTAATTTTAAAGCAGTTTTATAATTTTTTGGAAGAAACGAGTCTTTATTCTGTCCTTACGTACAGATATCACACAAAAACATCGTTAAACTGCATTCGATAGCGGTCAAAATCGATACTTTCGTTGAAATATGCTGCCTGAAACTTTTCGCGATTACAACACTTCATTTTTACTTCGTACGAGGAAGTAAAAATACGAAGGAATTTGCCGAAACTCAATGCTGTGCGTATGCTATATTATGTTTTACTCAATGCTGTGCCTTAAATGCTAGAAAAACTAATTTCAATATAACTGAATGCAAAGAACACTTGTTTTTTAAATGGATGGCTGCACAATTCTAATTGCGGCACCGTATACTGTCATTTTATAAGGGAAAAATGTAAAGATGTCTTATTTGCATCTATCGTAGATTGCTTTATCCAAAGAAATGAATGGGCATCAGCTGAAATGTCTAATGTTGATGAAACCGGTGTCTTATACCATGTCACGTGTATTACGCCTTGAAAGGAGATCAGTGTAAGAAAATCAAGAAAAGTAAACATCACATGACTTATCTTTTCGTACGCAAACTGTTGGTGAGAATAAATGGTAAAATTGTAGTTACACGAAAATGCAAAAGCCATTTCAAATTAAGACACAATAACACGCCGAATAAATACTAATTCAGAAGTCAAACAACAAAAATCAGCGTTATATTTACAAAATTTTCACAGGACTAGTTTCGATGGTTTTACCGAACCACCATCTTCAGCTGCAAAACCGCAAATGAACAAGATAGGAAATAATGATTAGATAAGATAAGAAAGCCTGGACAAGAATAATTGTTTGAAACTTTAAACTTCCCGGCATGGTTCCGCTACGTAGACGACACTTTTACTCTGTTTGAAGGTAATAAAGATGATTTAAATAAAGTTCTTTCAACAATGAATTCTATTGATCCTGCGATTCAGTTCACTTTTGAACTTGAGACTTGCAATTCTCTTCCGTTTCTCGACATTCTGGTCACACGTAACACATCCAACTTCAGTACTACGGTTTACCGTAAACCTTCATCGGTTTGCCTTCCACCACACTTTAAATCATGTCATCCGACTAAACAAAAGTTAGCTTCATTTTATTTCTATGTTTTCCGTGCTCTTCAAGTTTGCTCCTCCAAACTAGCCCTTGATGAAGAACTAAAGTATATTTAAAAGCAATAGCTATTGACAGGGCTTTCCACCCAACATTATTAATCAAACAGTTAAAAAATTCTCATCTCAACACACTAAAAGGCACAATCTTGTTTTAGAAGATTATAAAAATTCTGTTGTCATTCCCTTCTTTCCATCAATTAGCTATAAAGTTGCACATATTTTGCAGAAATTTAACTTTCGGGTTGTTTATTCTCCCATCAATAAAATTCCGAGTTCCATACTCAAGGACCCCATTCCGGATATGAATTCCTGGGGTATTTATAGGATTCCTTGCCAGTGTGGTTTAATTTACATTGGCCAAACTAAGAGAGCCTTAAAATTTCGCGTCAAAGAACATGAGGCATATGTTAGAAAAAGGGAAACACAGAAGTCTTCTGTTGCTCAACATTGTTGGTCCGAAAACCACACTTTCAGTTTTTCTGCTGCCAAAATTATTCAAAAAACATCTTCCATTGGAGAACTGGATTTTCTAGAGGCATTTCACATTCATAAAAAGCCCACCAGCGGCCGAGCGGTAAAGTCGCTGAACACTGGTAGTTCGGTCCGAGGTTCGAATCCCGCGAACGGGCTGGCTGCATGGGTGTTTTCGTGGTTTTCCCCATGTGTAACGTGTATACGAGCCAGTTTCCCTTAGAAAGTCCTCCACGAAAGGCATCCCTCCTCTTAGGCAGATAGCCTTAGTGTGCTTTGCCGTAATTAAATACACCACACCACACCACCACACTCATAAAAATCTTTCTGTTCTAGTTAACGATCCTAATTCCAATCCAAATTTGCCTTCGGCCTTTAAAGAAATTATGTTTTAGTTCTGGTTTTACCAACAGATGGCGCCACTTGCTTATTCTTGTCCAGGCTTTCTTATCTTATCTAATCATTATTTCCTATCTTGTTCATTTGCGGTTTTGCAGCTGAAGATGGTGGTTCGGTAAAACCATCGAAACTAGTCCTGTGAAAATTTTGTAAATATAACGCTGATTTTTGTTGTTTGACTTCTGAATTACCATTTCAAATTGTTAAAATCTTGTCAGTATGGCTTGCAGGAACTAAAAGAACTTTGGTGATTCTGAAAACATTTAAAAAGAAGAGGAAAAAACAATGAAATTACAAAACTTAATGTTACATCCGCAAACTATTGACTTTCAAAAAGTGTAAAGGCAGATTTCCCACCATTCGGTTCCTAGAGTTTTATTTCAAGATCACGATGAAAGAGCGAGTCCCAAAAGATGAAAGAATTTTTCATTAAGGAAAAAACTGCAATATATATCTCTGTTAAAATTTTCTTGGGAAAAAAATTTATTTAATCGAGATGGAAAAAAGAAACAAAAAAGTGATCGTTGTCATTTCTTTAAAGACCTTTTAAAATTGTGTATTTTTTTGAAGACTTGCTGTTAAAAAAAAAAGGAATATTAACTTTTAAAAATGTAGTTGATATTTTAAATAGAAGAAAAGAAGAATTATAATGTTAGATTTATGTAGTCGTGCGAATTTGGCTGTAGCATCAAAATTCTATTGATAAAACATCCATATACCATATCTCTTAAATTAAAATTTCGCCCTTTTTATTAACAGGTCATTTTTGTAGCAGTCGCTTCGAAGACGTTTAAACGGCGCTCTGTTGAAGTTTAAGTGCACGTCATCAAACACACATCAAATGCAGTCTTTTTTAGACTGATTACCATATCCAGCTGGGAAGCGGAAGACCACAGATCACTCCTTACTCCAAAAATCCTGTTAGATATTATCATATATCTTTCCCTATATTTGAACCTCTAGAGGTCTATACGTCCTAGTCGAAATATATATTTCAGATAGTTTTATTTGAAGGTATTGACCAGACTGCGATGATTTAAAACAACAGTAGCTCTCCCGTTTAAGGTTACATTGAAAACATTTCGGAATTTTCGAGTGGCAACATCCACTTTCTTCCTGCTCAAATTGATCAGCTCCTTGAAAAGTCATAAATGACAAAAACTGACAATATAAAACATTTGCAAAGAAGTGCATTAGAAAGATCTAATGACAGCACAAACAGAGGAGAATTACAAATTCTCAATGTGTGCGTCGTTTCAAGAAAGAGGTATCTCCCGTTGTCAACTTGGCGATGTCTCGACAAATTACCGAGATACCCATTTACTCAAAGTTAAATGAACTTGCCCTGTATTCTTTCTTTTCCGGCATAACTTTCTTCTTCAGATTCTTCATGTCATATTACACACAAAAATACAACAGTTTCACATATAATTGCACTAAAATCATCTATCTATGTACAAAATTCGTTATAATATAAATGAATACCAAAAAAAAAAGGGAGGGGGGAAACTTTGAATATAGAACATGAGAGATTGTTTGGATCACTTTTTAGTGCTGGTGGACTGCAGGAAGGTAGAGCTGTTTCCTGCTGTTGACCTTAGCAGGAAATATTGTCTGTGAAATAGTGTCGTTAAAACTTGGTAATTAATTAGCGAACGAGATATAATTAACATGTAAGAAGTTAGTTAAAATCGAGATAAAAATTCAGCCAGAGAAATAAAGGGTTTTTATGAATAGTATTGATGGTTTGGAATCAGAAATATCTCACATGTTTGTTAAATCGTAATCGATTTGTTCCGTTCATCCCTGTATCCCAAACCTGTTTCCTTTAGCTAAATTTTGGGCAGCTTTAGAGAAATAGCTTTAAGCACTGCGGTTGTAATCAGTAGTCAGGGACGTGTTTCAAAAGCAACTGCGGGGAGATTTGCTGCAAAAACTGCTTGAATTTCGATGCTAAAGCATAGAAATAAATAAAGATTATAATAACGGAAAAAATTGAATTATGCCAAAACTCACAAATGCAGAGGGACCTTTCTGAAGAAAAATGGCTAGGAATTACGTTATACCGAAGACATTCAGAAGTATCCGTAACAATCATCCTTCTGAACAATCGGAAAGAGAATCAAAGACGAACTACTAGTATCGTTCGGTTTTAGCCAATCAGTTAGTTGCGAAAAAGGTTTCAGAAAGACTGCAGTATGGAAAAATCATATCCGAGCACCAAATATATGAAATATTGTAACAAGCTATATCCACGACGGTTGAAACCTAGTGACAGGCATTGTTCTGTTTAAACGTTCGGAGTGGTAACACATTAATTCATCAAAACAGAATGTTGCTAATAACAGGGATTTTACAGAAAGAAAAGCTTAATAGCAAAAGGACACAAAATATTAAATCTCGAGAGATTGTTTCTTGTTTCTGATATATTCCTGAATTTAACTTAAGAAACAATGCGAACTAAGACAAAACGTTTTATTTAAATATATTTTTTCCCTGCTCACCGTTAAACTACCTCTACTATGCCCTGTGTATGTATCAGGAAAACTGATAAACCAAGAACAAATCATATGCAGGAAATGTATTTTCTTAGAAAAAAAACGAAAAAAGAACTCATCTCTTTCTCTTTCGTTTTATACATCTTAATAGCAATATCTAATTTATACGTCGACTTTTCTCGTTAGAAATTATTTTCAAACAAAACATTTCCTTTTAGTGAAATTTACTGCAGTTAAACGCATAATATTTACTACTCTGGACTATAATGGTTAACACAGGCTGACCTAATTCTCTGCACGAAATGAAGAGTTAATTTTGACTTCCGCTTATAGTTTTGCTGCATTTTTTTGCTATGTTATCTCTCTATGACAGCTGTATCCTAAGATGAATTTCAATAATGAGACGGTTTATGTCGGGAATGATACGGCGAAGTGATCAATTTGTTAAGTTGTTTACAACGTATCGCAATGCTTCAGTAAATGTGCCCGGCTACTACTGGACGAATACATGTAAATATACACTCTCGTTCATAATATTCAATAAAAATGTAGGGAATTTTTTAGAAGCATGAAAGGTAAAAATGAGCAATACCTTCGCCGGTAATCGAACCACGGGCCTCTGAAATACGCGCCCAGCGTTCAGATCACCACACCACAAAGGCATGGCAAGAAGGCGGGAGAAATACATTATATACTCCCGCTTTTAAAGTGCGACTAGTATTTTTACGGGACCGAATCGCCAAATCCTGGATGGGGAGAATCATCATCCAACACCCATTTAATTCGGACGTCACTATAGAGACATTAGTTATTTTTTCGCAGCAGGCAGATGAAAATTATGCAACGCCTTCGCCTGGAATCGAACCACGGACCTCTAGAATACGCGTCCAACGTGCAGACCACCACACAATGAAGGTATGCCAAGAAGGCGGGAGAAATACCTTATAAAAATATAGCATATTTAAAATACAAAAACATTTAATTCGCGAATCTATTCCAATATCTCTTAAAGTTAAAATTTCAAAGAAGAGGCGCAATTTCTTTTCTCTTCAATCTACTCTGCCGTGGAGTCTGCCTTAAGCTTGCCTGTTATGGGAGCCACAAAGAGAAACGTATAAAAGCTGAAAATTGCAAAGGCAAGCAGCTTTAGTAAGGCAAGCTGAAATTTGCATAAGAAAATTTTGCGTAGGCAAGCTTTCTTTTGCAAGCTGAAAATTTTACCAAAATTATTGGACCTCTACTTCCAGATATAAATAATGGAAAAACATATCGGAACACCTGTTAAAGGAATGCGCAAAGTAACAAAATCTTTCTAATTGAAAATGTAATTATTGGAAAGGTTTGTAAGTAGCTTGTTTTTTTATAAAACCTGCAAAACTAATCAGAAGCCACTGTGTATTTCCAGAGATAGATCTCTTCTGGGGCAAGTAAATTATACGTAAGTATTTTCAAAAAGGCAAATGTTTTAGCTCTTATGTCAAATTCTTCCGTGACTAAATTGTGTTAGAGTGTTGACTGGTACTTTATGCTGAGGTAAATCTTACATTGTGGTTAAACACCAGCATTGCAGAACATACTCGTGGAATGATAAAGAAAGGATATTGTGGAATATTTTTATACAAAGGAGACAAAAGATACATAAGTAACATATGAGGTGAATAACATGGTTTCCAAAACTTAAAATAATAAAAACAACGTAAGGAAAGAGTTAGAATTCCTGACAGCTGCAAATGCCAAAGTGTGGCTTGCCAGATTTAAACTGCCATTTCTGTTTATTCATACAATTTTCGACTTATAACTTCGACTTTAATTTCAAGACCTTTGGGGATTGAATGCGACTGTAGAACGCCATTTTTAATATTGGTCCTCCTGGTAAGTACTATTCCTTCTGTTACTCTGTTAAAACTGTTTGCGAAAACATTACATTTTTCATTCTTGAACGAAATCTTGTATTCTCGAAAGCAAATGTAACTGTTGATAGTTATATATTTATTCAAATCCTCTATTTCCTGTTTCTCTGCTTATTTATAATGGCTAATTTAATTTAATTTTAAAAGTTTTCTCAAGTTCTTATTGACAGTTTTGTTTCGAGAGATGAAGAATAGGTATTGCTATAGTTTAATGGATTAAGAGTTCGCATGAAGACGTATAGAAATTACATACTTACCAAACAGTCAGGAGCATTCATTTTCTGCCGATAGGCCTGAGTTGTGGATCAGGGTCAGGAGCAGCCTGGATGACAGCCAAAGTTGCCATCGCCAGAGCAGCAAGGAAAAGCAGACTGTGTTTCAAAAATTCCATTTCTTAGAGACACGAATAGAATCGGTATGAATATCTCAGCTTGAAGCAGTTCTTTTATAATACAACCTAGTCCTAAAAATATGCAGTATCATAGAAAGAAATTAAGGACACAGGAAGAATATACATTCAAAGAACGGAATGATTTGCAAAGTATAAAACCTTTTTAAAAAATCCATATCTTTCTAAAATAAATTTTCTCAACTGAAGAAATTTTTTTAAATCTCAGCGGGTTTAGCATAGATTGCGCATTTGGGTGACTCAGCATAGATTCATTGGCTGATGTCGGACACGTTCGTTAAAATGCAGAATCATCTGATATAAATGTGAAATTCACATTTCTTTGTTCTAAAAATCTCTTTTTAAATTAAAAATTTTTTAAAACTACATATGAGACGAATTCTGAATTTCCTAGAATCTGGATCCTAAATATATATCGAATATCTCCAAAATTTCAGATCCCTCAAATCCCTTATATAATACATGAAACGCGATACTATAAACTAATTATGGCAGAAAATTGTAGGTGGGAAACAGGAAATAAAGGAAAGTGGTTCAAAATCAAAAATAACTATTAGGAAATTAAAATAAATCTCACAACGCTTATAACTATATTCCTCCATCACTTCCTTACTCAGTTGGGCAAGTTACTTGTTACAGCGGGGCCACGGTCCTTTCCTTTCTAACTACTTCAGGTTTCAAATGTAGGTACAGATACTTGTATCTGCGGACAACAGGACCATGCACATCACTGTGCGACTGCCTGACTGCACATTCGACTGCCTACAATTAATCTCAACACATGGAAGCGTTCTGTCCTCAAATCTACGGTGTTACTGCTGCAGTAATGCAATATAATCAACGTTCTAATCTCTTAAAGCAAGAGATTGTTTCCATTGTATAGTAAATATGCAATGGAAACTACTCTCTAGCTGTATAATTACTTTTTATCCGGATATCTGAAATAGTGCAATCTGATTATCTGCATTAATACATCAATTTCGCCATTTTCTGTATTATGTGTACATGCGTTAACAAATGTATTTGGGTATACTTTTGTTCTCTCTATGAGTTAGATGTGATAGTGCTCTGCTTCATAAGTGGCATAAGTGCTTTTTTGTCTTATGTGTAATTAAGTACAAATTCACGCCACAGCATTCTTGTAACTGCACGCTTTATGCGTTTTCCTTTTCATTATTCCAGATGACTTTATCTTTTCACATTCATTTTGCCTCCTATTCAACACTTCTCAGATTCCTAATATCTGTATCATTCGCCATCTTTAACATCCACCCGCATCATGATAGAGTCGTAAGTCATAGTATGACCTTTTCACAAAGCTTGTCGTGTTTTATATGCCAGTAATGTGGTATTCCAATCTACTTAAATCTGTATGAACTACTGCTAGCGTTATATTGCAAATATTATGTCTTATCTTTTTTACCATGTAATACAAGTCTTCAATTGAATACAATACTCCAATATGTGCTTTATGTGCCCGTATGATTTATGTATTTATAAGTGTTTTATGCACTTTATAGAAGTGCCTGAATAATTGCATTCATTTATAGGCACTTAAATGTGATTTTTGTGTTTATAAGTGTTGGTGCACATAAACTCTCTGTGTTCTGTTCAGACGTCAGCTTAGTATCAAGCTGTTCTCCAAAATAGTAACTGTAATTAAATCAACAGGCTTGTTAGGTAGCGTAAAAAAATAATATTAAAAATAACTCCCGGTATGACCTTTCCAGAGTGTCAAAGAAGATGCCTTCTCTATAGATAGTGGTAGGCGAGGGACAATGTTAGTCAACACGTGTCTCCGTGATTTCTTACTAAGGAGGTTAGAATAGATGGAGTAAGCAAGACGTCACACAATTGAGACCTTGTCAGCAACGTGACGTCGCCATGATTTATCATGGCCCCCATACAGCGTATAGATAAGAACATGAAACATTAAAATTAAATAAACTTACACTGATTATGAGAGCAAATATGAACGTCCGAAGACTTGCAAAAGTGTCTTTGGATATTGTTTGTGTAAAATACCGTTGAAACTTCCATTGCTGTTTTAGGTTTTACCGCGTCGTTTAGTTACGGTGTGTCCATTTTCATATTTCTACATTTTATTGAGTTTGAAAACGTTATTTGCAATTCTTGTGATTTTTGTCCGAGACTTATAAACATTCAGTGATGAAAGCTATCATGTAGATATCACCCATTTAAAGAAAACCAACCAGAAGCCTGCCAATGGCAGCAGCCATGATAAATCGTAAAGTCATACCGGGGCGTTTCATAGCTTCATTTTCATCGCAGGGGGTATGCGGAGGAGGATTACTCTATTTATTCTAGCCTCCTTGTTTGCCACACATCACCATCACCCTCCCAGGATGTTGCAGCTTAGAAAAGACAAGGCTCATAACTCCACTACCAGACTTGCACGGGGCTTCTGGGGATAATTTCTGGAATCTGAAATTGTTCCCATAACCCAGATAACATCATTTAAGAAAAATTTAACTATCGCGCTATCTTCCCTTGAGAGTGCCCATCCTCAAGCTTACCGCTGCGCTGCATCTCAATTCATCGCCTAAGAGATTACGAGAGATCATTTTTAACTTAATCTATAGGGCTCTGTTTAATTGTACAAGTAGTTATTTTAATTGTTGAATCTTTTTTGAATTCTCCTGTTTCCCCTCGCATTTCCTCGCCAGGATACAAATTAAGTAGGTAAGTAAGAGTATTTAACCGGTTGAAATAGAAAGGTTAGACAGAGCTTGATTTCGCTAGTCAAGAGCACATTCTTTATTCAGCTCCATCTGTTGATCTGAGCAGCGGCTACGTATTCTTGCCATCTAGTTAGTATATCTCAGGTGTATGCTCTGACAGCAAGTAGTCGTCTGTTGTACACACGTAGGTCCGAGCCTTTCCGTTAAAAATTTAAGATTAATAAAAGGGTTTTTTATACATTTGGTCTATCGTGTTCATCTTCACGCCTGTACGAGATTTCTCATAGGTTTGACACCCAAGTAGATCTGGTCACATTGTATGATAGACTAGAAGATTAGGTCTTATAACTGGTGCCCGAATAAATCGAGACCAATGGCCGAAAATCAACCAAATGATTCAAGTGTTTTAATTATGTATCCATTTATTAAATTTGATTTATATCATTAATAAATTACAAGTGCACTTAAAATTATTCTTCTGTTTGTTTTTCGTAAAATATGGATTTCAAGTTTTGTTTTCATTAAAGTTTCTTAATACAAAATGGCGGCCTCGTTACGCCTAGCATCGCTTAATCATGTAGGGGTGTATTTCTAATAAACTCCTATAAGTTTAAACTTTCTAATAGTAATAAATAATGTAATTATTACTTTTAGAAATAATAACGAGGTAATTTTCTAATAGTTATTTTTATTTTGTAAGAAGCCTTTGCTTTATTTTCTTACTTCCCACCTATGATTCGGTATTAGAATGAGTCTTCAAGGTCGCGTTTCACGTAAATGAGGTAGAAACCAGTATTTAAGTTGAAGTCTCGGTTAGTTCAGTAGGACAGCTCAGAAAGGCTTCGTACAGCATGATCTGCCTACTGCCCACGTCGTTGCTTTAAGTCTAATCTTACGACTTTTCGACCATATTCTTACGTGGGTACTAGTACTGTCATTTAAGTACCAGAATGCGATAATTCCCTGCACAGTTCTTAAAAACCTAGATTTCAAGGACCACTAATTTAGGTAGTATGTTACATTAGCACCCAAATAATCATCGAATCATGTTTCTGAAGTCTGGAAGGTTTACATTAGCCACTCCTAGACTGCAAATTTCGCCAGCACCAGCGAACCCGATGGAAGGGTTCGGATTCATGATTGAGACTATGCGAGCTGCGCTGAGACCAGCTGTTACCTTCCACGAAGAAAAGTTTCTGTGACGTCCTTTCTTGTAGCAATTGGAACTGCACTTCACGTTGCATCCTATTTCAGAACTACAGAAAGTCACCATCGCTACTACAAACTTTAAAGTCTAAGCACTCTTGCTGGCACAAGGGGATTGGAAACTTCCTGTTAGAGGAACCAAGCTCCAAAGCGTATAACTGGAAGTCATTTAAAAATGCTCTGCTCAACGCATTCCCAGCAATGAAGTACCCTTTGACTTCTGCTGGGACTTTATTTTTGCAGTCATTTGTCGTTGTCATATACACTAAATTACATAATTCTTTTAAATGATGAATATATTCAGATTTTAGCATTTCCAAATTTAAAAATAATTTCGACAAATGACGAATCTAACTTTTAATGCGAGTCTCCCGGTTCTTATGACTCATATTTCGTTAAAGATTTATAAATTAAAATGAAGTCGTTATGAAAGAATAAAATTATGGGAAGTTTGACTCCCTTATGACAAAAATTTAATCAGGGAAATCTTAATTTCAAAATACGCAATTCCAGAAACTGTGAGAATGTTTCCGATAGCATGTCATTTCGAAATAACATGGCATTACCGAAAATACAGTTTTATAGATACATTTTCGAATATTTGTCGTTTCTTATCCATTTGGTCAAAAACAATTAATTTTTTTACTGGACCTTAAATTATGGAGCATACGTTAATTTTTGATTTCGTACTACGTTCCGTTCTGCTTTTCCCTAATATATTTTTCGTGCTTATAATATAATATTGCAAATTCAGTGAGTAAAAATAATTGCGATACTTAATAAAAATTGCAAATTAAATTAGTAACTATTAAAAAATTCTGAAACATTTTATATTTTAAACTTCGCAGAAAAGAGCTCTCTTTGAAAATGTGATGAAGTTTTCTTATTTAGATGTTCAAGGAAGGAAAGAACTTTTGAATACTTCGAATCTGGAAAACGATTCGAGATTCTAAAATTCGAATCTTCCGCCTGCTTTGAAGTCACAACTATCTTTCATATTCTGGCCAAAAATCTGTTTTGTGAAATATTTTAACTGAGAACTTCTTTAACTGAGAATTTTATTGAAACTAATTGATGAGCATTCTTTAACGAAAGGAACGCGAATTATGTCACTTCGCCCAGACTGCCATGAATATCATTTTATAG